AAGAGAGGCCGGAGGCAATACTAAGAGCATACAGCTTACGGCAGGGAAAAGGGAACACAGGGTGCGACAACATCATCAGTTGGGTACGTCGTTCGCCGCAAGCGCGGCCTTGGCCGCCCTACTCGCTTCTACAGCAGTGTCCGGTCGCCGTTTCTTCCCCCCCCCCGCCGCTTCCCCGATTCTCTTTCTCTTCGGGCCCGGGGAAGGGTCTAAATACACGATGGGGAAGCCCTGAGAGCGAAGCTTTCCACAGAGAGACACCCAACACCCTTGGCCGAAAGTACCCCTACCGCACGGACGGCTCCTGTTCAACAAGATGACTCTTTCGGTCTCTTCAGGGAATACGAAAATTCCGACATAACATACAGGTAGATAGACAAGATGGCTACCAACCTGCCTTGTCGAGCCTGTTACCCACAGGGGAGATATCGTTGTATGCTGTCTGGGAAACCGTTGACATACAGGTAGCTTTTCGCTCGCGCTATGGATTTATCGCTAATCTATCTTAGACTATATAGATAGAGATGGATTTGTTGTGTGATATTAAGAAAAAAAAGAAAAAGAACAGACAAACCGAGTTCTCCCAAAGCTTTTCCGTCTACAACTTCCCAACATAACATACAGATAGATACACAAGATGGCTACCGAACTGCCTTGTTGAGCCTGTTGCCCACAGGGGAGATATCGTTGTATGCTGTCTGGGAAACCGTAGACATACAGGTAGCCTTCCGCTCACGCTATGGATTCATTGCTAACCTATCTTAGACGCATTTATATAGACGGAGATGGATTTGTTGTGTGATACTAAGAAAAAAAACTCTACAACGCCGTCGACAGGCAACGTGACAACAGACCATGTTCGCGGTGACAAAGCACACGCGGTGTGAATTCATGGTGGAGACATTGAATTGAAGGAAATAACGACCAACTTCACCGACTCACGCGTAACCCAACCACTCCCATCAATAACCTGTGCCCGCCGCTTGGCGGTCCTATAATAAGAGCTTCTGCTGCTCCGTGACAAAGAGTGCGGAAGGGCTACTTGTACAGCACGGTATTTAGTTCTTGTTTCTTGGTCTTCGTGATGGGGGGTTTCACTCACAATATAGGATCGCCAGGAGCAGCATCCGATTTGAAAAGCTCATTCCATTCCTTTCGCCCCCGGGCGGTTGCCCTGCAGCAGCAACAGGTTCAACCATGCGACCGGCTGATGCCTTCCTTGCAAGCAGCAGGCAAGCACAAGTGGATTGGTTTGCAGTGACTCGCCCGTGAACAAGGATGAGTATCAAGTATTTCTTGGTTGCGTGCCCCCTAATCCCACCGCTTGCGCCGCTCTTCTGGTCCTCAGTCCCTTTCGTCCTTGCCCGGTGCCTGTCTGTCTGTGTCTCCCTGCGTCGATGTCCGTCGAGGTCTGTTCTACTGGGAAGGTTTACTGACAGTAGTTTTACATCATGCCCGGTGCGGACAAGCACGCCGCCATAATCGCCATCGAGAAGCACGGGTACAGGTGAACACATGCGGCGCGACAACGTACTTTCTATATCCTATTTGAATTTGTAGAGTATGCTCTATGTTGCGGCGATTCTTTACCGACCACTACTATTGTAGGTCGCCCCGGTGGTCTAGTGTTATACTCGTAATCCGCTAGTTGCAGAGGTCGTGAGTTCGAATCCCCATGGGGTGAAAAATTTACGAAATGTGCGGGTGAAAGCGAAATATATAAAAAGCTCTCGTGAGTACCAAACTTCGACATTAGCACCGTTGATGAGGGAAAGGGACGGCTGGACCCTTCTCGCGATAAGAATAAAATTCAGCACGCACCGCAAGAGGAAGGTGGGGCATGAAAAGAAGTAAAAAGAAGAAAAAAGCCCTGGTGTTTACCCCCTCCTGTGTGACCCTGGATGGTTGTAGTTGTACGAAAAAACACACTGAAACGCGTAGTACTCTACATACGCTGAAGAGTGTAGTACACGTCTCACCACGAAAAATGGGGGGACTGTCGCCATAATAAATAGGACGAAAACACACAACAAAACACACACAGCAGTGCTGCTATAGACGTGTTGCTCGGCCCCTGCGTTGCTCTTCAATCACCATTCCGTAGCGGCAACAGCATATACACTGTCGTGCTGGCTATGAGTTACCCTGAAACAGCAGTTAAAGGACACGAGGGCCCTCTGTGTTTCCTACCCGATGCTCGCCTTGTTAGAAAATAAACCTCATAGAAAGACTACCCATTCGAGATACAACTTCAGTCGAAAGGGACGTGGTGAAGTCCTTTCAGTAAGTGGATTGAAACCCACTGGAGCCTTGGCTTATTTTGTGTTTGTGCAATCCTTACACTGAGTTACCAGTGATGCCAGTTGGTGCTAAGCACAAGAGCATCTGTAGAGGCGAATAGAGGTAATTAATTTTACGGGAATCGGAATCTTCAGGACTGGGTCGCTCACAGCGCAGCGGGGCGATTCGACCCCCTCTGAAAACAGTACGTTAACTTCGCGCCCTCATAGCGCGCGCCCAGACGCACGGCGAGACTCGCGACTTCGCACGGTGGCACCTGGTGGCCTAGCGAACAGAATGACTAATTTCGCGCGGTCCCGATTGTGCCCGCTGAGTTGGGAATCAGTGTCGTGAAAGCGCGCTGAAACCCGCAGAACCGACGACTTTCGTCTTCCGTTCGCAAAAAGGTGACAGTCCCGTTTTGCGGGGTTTTGGTATTTAGGTTGATGTGTTGCCAGCAGGGAGAGAAAAAACACGAACACCCTCAATAGCCAGCACGTACTAGTGTCTTCTCGTGCTCATGGATGCCAATGCCCAGACCGGAGGAAGGATAGCCGGGGAAAACGAAGGAACCATGGGCAAGTACGGGCGCAATGAGCTGAACGACAACGGTCGGCTGCTGCTGACCTTCGCCACAGACAACAGACTAGCGGTCCTCAACACCTTCTTCGACACACGGAGGAGCGGGATATGGCATACGTTCAACGGCCCGTCGGGACGCGAACGTAGGTGCCTCGATTACATCCTGACGCGCCAATCACACCGCGGCCGAGTGTCCAACATGGAGGTCGTACCTCAGCCAGTGCGCCCAGTCAGAGCGGACTCAGACCACAACATCGTAGTAGCCACCGTCGACCTCGGTGGCCGGCTGGCCCACAACCGACCTATCCGGACAAACCCCAAACGGCGGCAGTTCAACCGACAGGATCTGCAGGTCGAGGCAGCGCGATGGGCGGTGTCCCAACGGTTTCTCTGCAACTTGCTCGCGAGGTCGGGCGCGCCGGCGACCACCGCTCAGGAAATGGCGAAGGAGTTCACGGAGGCC